ACATGTGGAGAGAATAAGCAATACATTTTCGTTTACTAAGTAAATGACCTATGATTTACTTGTTAAGAAGCGCACGCGTTTGGTAAGAAATTCTGTAGTGTAATCTAACGTAAAAACAAGTGCTATGATATTACAGCTATGTAACGCAGTCGTTGACTAAATTCGGAAATTTGCTGTGTTGATGGTAGTATAGCAGTTGATCACTAAATATTGTCTAAACCGAAGGATGTCCTTAAGTAATAAATAGTATTTTCAACAAAGCGAACCATGGACCGAATTGTATCATCTCAATTATTGCGGCTATATTCCAACTGCCAATATAAATTCTAACATAGTTTTTCTTGTAGTACGTCTGTTGAAAGTAGACTTGCGAAAGACGAAAACATTGGATTTTTAACGTTAAGCCATTGAAAACATAATGCACATCTGCAGCAACGTCAGTTTATTATTTTATTGCACAGAACTGGAAATTCATAACCACAGAATACCTGATGCCGTGACTCACTGGCGGCTATCTCATTCATACAGCTACTAGTATTATCAGTAGAGTGTTTAATCCTAATTAAGTTAGCCCGACTTAACTGTAGTGATATAAGTTATGGAAATATCTGAAGGAAACCAGGTTAGTATCAAACATGGGATCCTAAATTCAATACCTCTAGCTGGAACTAGCTTGTGAATAAAATCCGGCTGGAAACAATACAATACGAATATCAACAAGCGCGAATTTCTTATATGGATTCTTCACAAACAAGTTGTCAATCTCTTCGTTCATATCTAAACGCATTTCACCGAATCTAGGGCAAGAGAGTATACATGAATATGTTTCATTTCTTTGATAAGAGCCTTCATTTAATAGTGTGAAATGCACATAATTATTTACAATGCACATACAAATGAAGCAAGCTGTTAATTTACCATATATAAGAATGGACTTAAATTGGTTTCGAGTTGCATTATACATCGTTAGACTACAAACTAAAAATGAGTACATTAATTAGAGAAACCGAAACTTCACAGAGGTCTTCATCTAGAATGGATTCATTGCGTCTTGTTCATGCGCCAAAACTCGAGTTCTCAAAATTTTTTTTTACAGAGAACGGTTATGCTTTAGGTCGAGTGGATTAGCCATATTCACCCCAATTGCAAGTTACAGCCAGATAACCCCTCTGCTCGGATTTCCTATGAAGCTATGCATTTTGACGGGAGAAGATACCAGAACGCCTGATAAAAGCTTGAGGAAAAGCGCCATCTGCAACGCTACTCGTTATCAATGTAAAAGGATGGAGTGGTTTATGCTACTCAACTCTGTCATCATACTGTATCGACCAACTTGACCAGCGCATCAAATAAAAATGTTTTGAATCAATCGATTATCCAAAAATGGACAATTCCTCTTGTACACAAGAGGCCTGAGAAATGAATTCACACAACTGCTGTTAGCATAAATATATATCAAGCTTTGTTCTGTCTGAGATTTATACATATCTATATGATATATATATATATATATATATATATATATATATATATATATATATATATATATACTCTAAGAGAATGGCAAGCGGTGGAAACAGGTTGCGCCAGTTTCTACGATCGAATATTATTGAACTATATTATATCTTTTGGTATTATGTTCAAGTAAGGACGAAACAAACAAGTTAAAATGGCTCCACGTGAAGGCAAATAGGTAAATTTATTATTTTTATACACTTTCACCGCTTCATCTTTTAAGCTTGACAGTGCTTTACTACATATACTGTTGTAATTATTATTGTCATTATATTCACCATGTTTTTGTATACATGATAGCGTTACCGCATATATAACTGTAGGATATAGTCTGATTTATAGCAAACCCTGCCGTTTAAGATCTTCAAACGTTTTTTTGTTAACAACATTCCCAGAGCTATCTTCGTACTCTTCTTCCGTTTTTGCATGGAAACGCTGCTTTGATTTTTCGTCCTGCAGTTTCTGCCAAAGATTCATCGCGTCCTCGATGTTGGTAACATTGGCAAAATGGGCGGTGTTAGGGATGCCGAGACACCGCATCCCATGCGCATGCCGCCATTCGGCAAAATGCCTCTGGTACGCTTTTGGGCCCTTGTAGACAAAATTACCACAGATCTCGCACGTATAACTGATATTTAGCCCATGAAGCTTGTATAGCCAGTACGGTATGGGTTTGCCGTCCCATCCAAGCGGCAAGTTTTTCGGATTATAAATGACGTCTTCCTGTTCATCGTCGTCCGAAACTTCGTCAGCGCTTTCATCATCACTATCCTGGCGCTCGCCCGCAGTACGCGCCTGTCGCCGCTGGACGTTTTCCTTCGTTGCTGCCCTCTGCTCAGATAATTGTTCGACCAACCAATAGATCCTGGACTCCATAATCGCGAGCTCTCGATTCTTAGTCGGCACTGAACCACCTTTTGTCTTCTTCTTGGCTAGTAATGAAATGTCAATTTCTTCCATGCTTTTTCCCTTTGTGCTAAAGAGACGTTGAGCTCGCTCCTCAAGTGTCCCGCCACACTTTAACCCAAGAGCCATAAGAGCACTCTTCAAGCGATCCAGTCCCAATGAAGCTAGTTCCTCGGCGCTGGAGAACGCACTCAAATCAAGATGGGCTCCGGTGTGGGCCAAAGCACCTTCACTCTCCTTTTGCCATCCTGGAAATTGACCCGAATTCCATTGTTTCTCAAACTCCTTCTCCAGTTCGATAGCTTCCTTTTCAAGATTAGACAGTGGCTTGACACGTTGCAAATAGTCTTGCATATATCCGCTAAGGGCTTCAACGTAGCGTCGATAATCCGCATTTTTGCGCTCTTTTGGAATATCGAATAATCTATCAAATGTTCCGAGATATGTTATGTAATCGATTCTGTCAACTCCCTTAATGTTAACGAACTTCTCGTAGCAAGCGTGCAAATCAAGATATTTGCCGTAACCTTCTTCGTCAGTGAATTCGACCAGGTTCTCGTCAATACCTTTCTCACGAGCTTCGTCCATTTGAGCGAATTCCATTGACATTGGCACGTGTATCTCGTTAGGGTTACTTTTGTAGAAATCTTTCAGACCTCGCAGTCGATTGTAGAATTCGACCATTTCATTGGGGCCGGACAAGGCCTGAATTTCATCTCGTCGCATGCCATCCTCATCTTCGTAGAGATCCTTCAACTTGGTGGTTACCTGTTAACACGGCAGCAAAGCGAAATATAAATAACATATTTTGGTACTCGTAAAATTATGTGAATACAAAAGGGTTATTCGCGTTTATTTGTATAGTTTTGTCATAGAGCGTTACATATCATGACTGTATACGATGTTTATTATAAAATGCTCTAAATAAATGAACATTGAAGTACAATGTAATTATAGTAACCCATTTCTATAGATGTGTTCAACAAAATTATGGAGGCTAAAAGTGATCAAATTGCTCATATATGCAGTGTGCGGCACGTAAGTCGGGACGCGTTTTAGTGGGCAGGCTGTCGCAACGGGCAAGCGTTATCCGCTACCAAACGAGAACCAATTCGTTCTACAGCAAAATAAAAATTTCGATACAGCAATTAACAGTGTGTTATCTTTGGAATTTAAACGGAGATCAGCTATTAATTTTTCCCTGCGTGCTAGATAAGCCCTACGGAAATTATAAACATGAATTTCTAATAATCCTTCATTCAAACTTCCGTTAGGACAATAATGAGACAATTCCATATGAGTGGGCGTGGGATATCACAAAATATTTCATGAAGACCCCACGTTCACGTCATGTGTCATAAAAGTCAGACAGACGCTTTCTGAGGACAATAGAACCAAGAGATGTTGCCGATGTTGAGTTTTCCTGACAAGAATATATTTATCCTCAATGAATCGTAGAAATGATCACTGGCTTGCTTACAATTTAGGTCACATGCTTGTTTTAAGTTGAAACAATTTTTTAGCAAAAGTTAATGTGTTCTAAGGGTACTGTCCAGAGAAGAAGCCGTCATGCCAAAAAAGCCGAACTCGTCACTAAAGAAACTCGCCTGCATGCTTTGCAAACTTGTGAAGTACCTGAAAGAAGATTATACGGGTCGAATGCTTGAGAATGCAAACATAATTTGAGATCGTTCTTTGCAAGCGCGGTTAGTCTGTGCAGTTAGTCAATATGATAAAATAAGAAAAAGAAATTGGTTTCTTACAAAGATCAGCTTATACTTAAATCAAGTTCCAAAAATCACTTCAACATTTACTCATTAAGTCTGCGAACAAAACCGATTAAATCAAGTATATAGGGTTGTATGATTCTTACCTCTATATATCTGTCGAGAAGTCCTCGAACTCTATGATCGGAGTTAATTTGTTCTCTTTGAGTACTTTTTTTATGGAGTAGCTCTTTCACCTGTGCCTCAATAAGACGCTCTCTTTCCTCATGAGCACTCCGCTGTCGTTCTAAAATTGTGTCCATATTTTTCTTTGTTCTGCTTTCACTTAATACGCAAACAACTATAATTTCAAACAGTAATAACTAGCAATATGGAAATCACGAAAAACTCTCGTCCTTTCTAGCCGTTATCTTCGGCTCTAAACTCATAATTGGTATAACGATCAGTCGCGAGTGCGTTCTATTTCGATTATTTGTTTCTTTGTTTTGATGCTCGTATGGGTAGATACCACTGTACAGCGCCAACTCTTTGGCGGAGATTCTGAAAGTCGTCTGGCACAGAAAGGCGCGCATATTTGAATTCGCTTGCTGTCGATCAGCTGGTAGACTCATGAGTACCGCATGTGCAAATCGAAGCTTGGTTTAAATTTTGATTCGTAAACGAAAAAGGTGTCGGGTACTGTTCCAACAACAGCTTCAAATGAGACAATAAGTGCTAGTTATCTATATCTAAAGGTTTGTACAAGCATCTGCTGAGTCGTTTCAAAAGTGCTAATGTGTTCTACAAAAGTGAGGTGCATTCCTTGAATTTTTATATTTTCTAATAGCGGATAATTAGCCTAACTGGAGGTAAGAATAGCAGTTTTATTAGTCTCATCCATGTCCATTACCGATTAGCTAAAATCAGCCTATCATTTTGAATTAGAAATCTAGAAGGAAGCAGTATCGTTAGCCAATGTTCAACAGAGTCATTAGAAAACCAGATATCGTGTATTTTCTCTTTGTCGAAGTAAAAAGGGTTGTAACAATACACGATTCACCTTATAGGACGCTTTATTCCGATTTGTGTGGTTCCTACTAACGATACTCTAGGTACGTGTTTAATAGGAATAATTAACTTATTCATCCGCATTATTACTTATAGAATTTCTGCGTGCGGTGGCAACGTAACATCTTGTAGTCACAGTCGTTAAAAAAATTAACGGTGAACTTATTTTAAAATGGATCTATTTACCGATGTGGAAATACTGACGAATATTTCATGTGCGTTACTCAGTAGGATCTGCGAGAACCAGTTTATTTAAAAAGTGAGACTTTTTCACGTCAATACCTTCCGAGTTGACGTATTGATGTTCATTTAGTAGAAGTAGATTTTGAATTTGATACGGTTAAAAAATGCAACAATATTCACCCTAACCTGCGCAGACCACAAAACGTTTTGCCATAAAACGTGTTAAATTAAAGAAGAACAAACATCAGTTACAGGACCCTTGCGCCAGTAACAGCATTCAGTCCGATTCAGAATACCAGATGACATAGTTAATCCACCGCTATAAAATTCGTCCGTTAAATTGTTGAGTTGAAATTCCTCGACTCGAACAACGCTTACATTGCTGTCTAATTGAATCCTTGTGCCTATTTTTACAGGTGTCATTAGGTTTCAAACATGGCCGAAAACAAGATATCCAAGAAGGAAAAAGGGCTTGACAAGAGCAAGGAGAACCTAGCAGCATTGGTCGAAGCTACTCCGTTGCTTGAATATCATAAAGAAGCACTTACTGAGATAATTGATAAGGATGCTCTACTCATAACGGCCAGGTGTGCTATGCTAATGTATTTATTTCATATTTTTAATTGGTATTATCGTTCTCATACTTCTGTGCATTATATTACTTTAGGTTGATTTGTTACCGAGTATAAGGAACCAGCTTTGTTTTACAAAAAAATCTGTAAAATCGGATCGAATTTGAATCTTTGAAAGATTAAAACAATTCACTCATATATTTCTGTAGCGAATTTTTTTACAACTGAGCGGACCAACGTCCGTGGAGGTCTGTCCATATAGCTATGGGATTATATGTAAGTCCACACAGTAAATTACAAAGCTTTTGTTCTTTGCTAAAATAAGAACAATTTCATAACCTATTAGATCAATTTACCGTAAATCAAATTTTTAGGGGTCTTGGGATCCATGAAATTCTCCATTCGCTTATCCGTGTCTACCACGCACCCGAAAACCTTGTCATCATACTGGGAACTGAAACAGACCAAGAGGTAACGTTTTTCGTAGTTCACGAATAATAAAACTTATATTACATTGTCACGTTTTATGTTTGGTTTTAATGATTGCGATCACTACGGTCGTGTTTCTTTATGGGGTGTCTAGAGACGCATTACAATGGTGATCAACTAAATCAAAACACTTACCGTTCTGTCATTATCCTTAGATATGGATACGGCACCGTTTAGAGAGAAGTGGTATGAAAAATACACCGAAATGGATTACCTCAGACGCGTTCGACGTTCCCGCGCGCACTAAACTTTATAAAGAAGGTATGGCTTTTTGTACAATTAGTTCGGTGCATTATATGCAAAAAAAGAACGACGTGTTGCATTGTTTATGTATCTAGTGTTCGATGGAAAGTTATTATTATAATAATTAGGCAGATAATTATTATTATTTCGGTAACAATTTAGTGTTTAATATTTTTTGCTTGACGAATAGATTCATGTTGATATTATATATTATATTTTTTCTAAACAGGTGGGGTTTTATTCGTAACATCTCGTATCCTTATTGGCGACTTGCTTCATAAAAGATTGCCAGCGGAACATGTTACGGGATTCATAATAAATAATGCTGAAACGTACGTAAATACTTCTCTGCCGATGCTGTATAATGACCATTTACTGTAGAAATAAAATTAACCACTTAGGCGTTCGCTATTAGTTCTTTAATTTGACAACAAGCTTTGAAAAAGGTCAATCATTGATACGATATTTAATTGGACATGTGAACACTCAATAAACGTGTGTACTTATGTCACACCGCATTAGTGTGCAGCATTCACAGCAAGATATGTTCATCCTTCGACTTTATCGAGACAAAAATCGAACGGGTTTCGTGAAGGCCCTGTCGTCATGTGCCGCGGCATTCACACAGGACTTTATGCAACTCAACAGGATAATGCCTAAGTTGTTTGTCCGCCACCTTCTATTATATCCTCGGTAAAGTGAATCTTTTATGTCTATGTTTCATAAAATACAGCACTAAGTGGTCCAGATTCGCCATAATGTTAACTGTTCCGATAGTTTAAACCTAACCTAACCTAGCCAAACCAAACCTAACCTAACCGATAGGTTAAATAGTTGTAATAATTTTCCAAGTTGCAGAGCTCTAGTTTTTATTACGTGTATACAGTCAACTAATAGGATGGTACATAATTTAGATTTTTTTTTTACCTAACCAAGAACGCAGCGTTTTACCTAACCTAACCTAACCAACAGATTAAATTATGTGTTAATAGTAGTTTTTCCGACCTTTCGATTATTTCAACCCATTCATTTATACCTTACTGCTAGAAATTTTTAGGTCTTATTTTAAAGAACTTGCACAGCCGGGTTTTGAGGGTCTTCTCGCTGTATATTTGTCGTTAGGAATCTGATCTGCTAGTGATCGGAGAAGTTGGTAATTTATCGGAGCGAGGTCTGGACAATATGGTGGGTACAAACTCTCCGTTCCAGCTTTTGCCAGGCGGCTTTCGTAGTTTTTGTCGTGTGCAGCTATGCATTGTTGTAGAGAAGAGTGATTTTATCTTGTCTATTGGGTCTTTCTTGTTAGATAATTTCACCACTCGACGTCATTACTTGTCACCGATGACAAGTATAAAAATCAATATCTTCGTCAACTTGAAAGGCCGATTAGAGTGGGGTATTACTCTCTGGATTTAAGATTCAGGCTTTGAATTTAGCAAACCCCGACCAGCAGTCTCTTTAATTATAGAGTTTTCGCTGTACGTGGCACAAAAATCCCATGCGGATTTGGCAGATTTCGACGAAAATAAATAAATAATAAAAGACGAAATAAAGCAGACGTTGAGAATACATTTCTTTCGCTTGGAACCTTTATCTTCGGAGCCCGAAGTTGACATAAAATCCAGTTTACTGCACGATGAGAAGAGCATTTTTGACTGGTTTATGGAGGCAGCGAACAGGGAAGCAATAAAAGGGAAAAGGAACGTTATAATGTAAGCCTAAGTTAGTTAGTTTTGCTCCTAATGGCTTAGTCAATAAATCGAAAATGCCGATGTTTGGGCTTCACCTGGAATCGTATTACTGACTTTAGTTTTTTCATCCTGTTTCCGATTCAATTTTATTTTTCTAGGTTCCATCAAACTGTAAAGGACGATCTAGCTGTTGTTAGCCCAACAGTATACGAAACGTCTGTGCCGTTAACCACTTTGATGGAACAGATTCAGTTTGCTCTTATGGAATTAATAGAAATCACCATTCGCGATATCAAGAAGCTGAATCAGACCGTACGTAGTCAAGCTTCCGTTTGTATTTGTTACAGCTAAATTCACATATGGCCACTGATTCATTGTACACTACATGGCGAGTATCGCATAGCACATACAAGAAGTTGAAGTATCGTCAAGTCAAAAGAAGCGCTCTATATAGTTAAAATTGTCGATGGTATAACTGTCTAATACTATATTATTCATTTTTGTTGACTTCGATTACAGTTAAATATAGAAGAATTAAACACAAACAACGTTTTGGGTAAATCGTTTTTTGCTATAATTCGGACATACATCGATCCCCAGTGGCATCTTCTATCATCACGCGTCCGCCGTAGCATCGGAGATTTGCGCAACTTAAAGAAAATGATAGAGTAAGATATGACAATATGCATGCAGTTAAATTTTGATCAGTTACTTGGGCCTTTGTGAGGAGTATCTTTTTTATAACAAGCCCAATTGAGGTTTAGTTACAGGCGTGTTGACATCTACACCATTTTGATCAACAGTGGCGTGACGTGCTACGATCCAGTTACCTACCTACATTTGCTCCGGCAGATTTGGGCGCATCGGAGTCATGGCCACGAAGGACAGTCTGATTGGGCCATGATGGATGCCGCGGAAAGTTTATATCAAGCCGCCGAAAGAAGAGTGTTTCGTAAGAAAGAAAATAAGAAAGATTCAATCAAGGTACGCTATATTAAGATAATTGTCACAAATCTTGTATGTTGACGATTTTAAGTGCATAAAAAGTCACAAAAATGTCCTAATGTCTTTAACTTATGCTAATACTCGAATCATGCCTTCTTCTTTGCTTAGACGCGCAACTCGTAACACGTATAAAATTTAACATCCGACATTTTAAAAAAGCAAAGCGTAAAATTTTAGTGTTCCCTATCTATCGTTCGGATATTTGGAAGCTAAGACTAAATTTGTGTGACGGTGATCACCAACGTCCAACAACATCTTACCCTCGATCTATTTTTAAGACGCTTAAACCCGAACTCTGCCCGAAGTGGCTAGCGCTTGCGGAACTTTTAAGAACATGTGAACCTCAGGGTGCAGTTGTCGTATTAGTCGAAGAGGAAAGGATCCGAAAACAGCTTGAGGAGGTAATATGATTTATTGCATGTAAATGTATCGCAAGGTAATCAAATATGAAAGATTAACGAATGTGTTTTTAAACACAACTTAGTGTCGTTTGTGTTACAACATAGCCTTAATAATTCGCTGCAAGAATCGCTAACAAACCACTGACTGCGTGCATATTATCATTTCAAAATCGCGGCTTGCTTTCGCATTTTTTCATATAAGTATGTCTAGTTTATAAAAGGAAGCTGCAGTTTTAAAGCTTTATTTAAATGTTACATTATAGCAGTTAATCTGCAAAGCACCACTTTCTTTTTCAAAAGTATCCATGTCATTAAAAATAATCGTTATGTGTTCTGTTCATATTTCGGAGTATACTTTTATCGCTCTTGCCGAATTCTGGCGAGCATGTAAAATATAACTAATTAACGCATTTTTTTTTAGTTCGTCACAAACATCCCCAAAAGCTGAAAAAATTCAAAAAGAAAAAATAGCCGTCAGGTACACGTGAACAATATACGCAGTAGGTATTCTTAGTCCCAAAACAGCTTCTAATCCTGAATCGAGATCTCAGGAACGACATTTCGGGTCGTTGTTGAACGTCTGCCGCCCCATAGCAAGTTTTTTGACGACTTTAGTTTGGCTGTTAACATGTATTCATTGCAGTATTTATGTCTTGGTGAGGAACGCGTACATCGGACGGCGTACCAAAAGCTCTTTGCTGAAACGGAAGAGAACGTAGATTTTCCAGAGGAGGAGCGTGTGAAGACTACGGCACCAGAAAACAGGTAACTAATTAATCCAGCTAAATATTATTTTTAGGCCGTTGATCACACAATGCAGTATTGATTAGCAGAAAATATCTATGTGAATGCAATCTTCTAGCAGATTTTTCTTTACGGATATTTCAGTTTATCTCCAACAACATTTCTGGTATCGGTATCTGCATCGAATCCCTTTGCTTTTGAAGAGCTTCTCGTTGAGGTTCGTCCACGGAGCGTTATTCTTTTTGATCTTCATTTAAGCGCCGTTCGGACCGTGGAAGTGTATCAAGCTATGTTCCCTCAAACGCACGTAGGTCGCGTATTTGCCATACAATGACAGTTACAGTCTGTTACAGACAGTTACAAAATGAGGAACGCATGCTGTAATTACGATGATAGTATTCGCCTCAGATGCATTTTTTCAAGCACTTACTAACGGCCTGTATTGTATGGGCTCAAGGACGCTGTTTGAATTGGTGTTGTGCCAATGTCTATATAAGATAAACATTCTATTACTTGGCTCTTTTCTGTCATTTGTATTTCTTGCCAGGTTGAGCTATACACTTTAATGTACGTGAAATCTGTCGACGAACAACGGTACCTCAACGCTGTACAAAAGGAGAAAGTAGCCTTTACTACACTGATTCAAGAGAAAGCTGTGAGCGTTTTTCAAGGCTGAAAAGCTTGAATTCCAAGAACCTCACCTGTTTATTATTGTACATAGTTTGTACAAAAAAAAAGTAATAAGTTCTCAGTTTTCTTATATATTTAATCGATGATTAACAAATTGTTTTTATCATCGTAACTTTACAGTCGATGGCAAGCCGAAACGATTGGGATAACGAAATGAATATTGATAGAGGAGAAAGTAAGGTAGGAAAAAGTACTTTGCAGCAAGAACTAAAGACAATAAATATATCATGCAATTGCAGTAAAAACAGAAATCACTTTACGTTTTCCCTATGTTGTAGGTAATTGTAGACGTGCGCGAGTTTCGCAGCGACCTTCCATCGCTAGTTCACAAGCGCGGCGTCGATCTTTGTCCTGGCACTCTAGAGGTAGGCCTGATTACGCGGCAGGATACCCATGCACAATAAAAAACAACTTGATTTATTCTATTTATTATCAATGAGTTGAAAAAACAGAATTTTGCCGTGTAAAATTGTTTTGTGCCTAAGTCTTTGTTTCTGTTTAATTGAAGGTCGGAGATTACATACTTACGCCTGCAATTTGCGTTGAACGTAAAGCACTTCAAGATTTAATTGACTCGCTCTGTAGTGGTCGATTGTATCGCCAAGCAGAGCGTATGAGCTTACACTACGAGACGCCTGTTGTTCTAATTGAATTTAGTACGCTTGAAGCGTTCTCATTTAAGGTAAGATTATTGGTGAGGTCCATTAGGGACTACCTAGCTCAACTAATTCTATTTGCATTTGCCAGTCATTTTCATACACTCGCTAATATTCCTGCTTCTAAAAAATATAATTTGTTTTAGATAAATAAAGATTTTTTTACAGTTTTCACTCGTTACGGACGATATTGAAAGAAAATTTACGAAGGTTTTGCTACATTGTCTCATTAGTAACTGTTTTGGTTTTTTGTCCAACTTTAATTTACAGAACAAACTACAGTCGGAAATGATTCAGAAAAAGACTATTACTCGTTTAGTGATGCTGACGATCCAATTTCCGAAACTTCGCCTCCTATGGTCGCCAACTCCGCACGCAACTGCTGAGTTGTTTGAACTTCTCAAGACAAATAAGCCACAACCTTCGCTTGAAGAAGCTCTCAAGATCACAGAAAAAGAGCTAAAACATGAAGGAGGTTCACTCGACCGTTTTAATTCAAAAACTATGGTAGGACACCAGTTATGGCAAACAACTATACAAAATATAGCAGATACCTCTTTTGTTTTGCAAACATAAGCTAGAAGATAAACTTCAGTCTTAGAAAAAGACAACTTATGTTTAGCTCGACACCGTAATAATTATCTGTGGTGAATTTGTTAAGAATTGCAGAATACAATAATGGTTTTCACGTAGGCAGTTTAAGCAGACCATATCAATAAACAACAATTCGCTGTTTTGGTGACCGTGTTCTAGCGGTTCCTGGAAGCCCTGCCTGGTGTTGGCACCCATACCAAATTCAAGATTATGAGGCGATTCACCACACTACGAGACCTGTTTCTGGCCGAAGAAGACGTTCTCTTGGATGTATTCGAATCACGAGACAAAACGGCCGCCTTTATTCAAGCGGCGCGAGGGCCCTTTGAAAGGAGGGGCAAAAAGCGGCCGATTGAATAAGAAGTAGCATACATAGTGGACAAAGCATAAACGTTTTTGCACCTTTATAAATTAGTTAAATTAGTATAAAGCGATTTATTACGCTAATATTCTTACAATGTTTGCCATAGGTCGAACGTAATTCTTTGTGCTTATTCCTGCATGTAGACAGTTAACAACTGATTGTACAAATGAACATTGACTATACATTCTTGTTTTATGGCACATACTGCATGGCTTAACAGCGTTTTCTACATATCTAGCTACGAGATGTTAATACACAAATATATATATATATATATATATATATATATATATATATATACAGGAATTAAAAGCTACCAGTCTTCAACACAACGTGATATGGTCTTTTTTATCACGCTGAACTGGGACAAACAGAACGTACCTCTTTTAAAAATCGCATATCACGGGGTGTGCTGATCGGGTCGTTTTTCGTAAGGACTCTTAACGTTAAATAGTATGTACGCAAAGACAATTAGTTGTCCGTGTGTAGTTGTCGTTTTTTACGCATCCCCCCCCCCCCCCCAATCGCAATTAATTTATTTAAATCGTTCTCCAGGGTTGGATTGAGGCAATGCTAAAGACGTGAACTGTTGATCGGCAGCTTTTAGACGCAAAAGTGCCGAAAGCCGGGTCGAATTCCCAGAGCTTTGGATATTTCGGTAGTGTTGGATATTTGTACTTTCAAAACCGTCTTTTGGTTGAGAAACTGCTTAAGAGTTGCTCCTTTACGGCCAGCGTTCTAGTATATATTGAGCGAACAGCAGAGATCAGCTTCCTATCGTTACGAGAGCACCTTCCGTTCCGAGAGTACTTTCGTGAGTTTGTTCCACGGCTACCCTATTTTCCCTTTAAATATTTCGAAGGATATTGTGCTAATCGAGGGTGATTAACTGAATAATGAGTGGTGGTCTTTTTCTAATCAATATTTAGCATATTATTGTAGAATTTAATTGTTGTGCTATTGCCAATAGGCTTCGTTGTCGTCCCTCTTTCCTTGATTCCTTGTAATAAATGTGGAATATTATCGACCTCGTTTATGTAGCTTTCGGTTAAATTATTTTGCCGGCGAGCAGCAACTAAATCTCGTTCGAATTTGCTTGCTGTTTCCTATACCGCCATGTCAATAACTGCTAATAACAAACACCTGTGTGACACTGATGGGCGGGAGAATACTGCTTGTAGCTCGGCACTTGGTTCTGTCGTTACAGTTACAAAGCTGAGCCCAGACGACACCAACATGCGTATGTCTGAAGCGCTTGTTAGAGATCTGGCCTTTCCAGCTTAAGTAGCAAAAATGAGCATACACAGTGGCCTGTTTTTTTGTTGTAGTCTGTACCATTGTCTTTGTGGTAAGCATTTTTGCATTCAGCCCCGTCAAAGTTCTAGGGACAGTCCTACATACATAATTAATCGATCCCGAGCGATTGAATCGCACATTCTGTTATGGGCTGGCACTTACCGCCACTGCGGCAATGGCACCTTCCACAGCCCTTTTATTGCGTTCTCGTTCTCGACTTAGAGTCGGCCTTCATCAAAGCAGACGCAGGTGTCTTATTTGTCCGCCTTCAGGTAACAATATATGACAAGAATTGAGCGTAAAGGATGCTCATTATTAACTGGTATTTAGTTGCAGGCAAATTGGACCTGATACTCAGGGTAAGCAAACATATCGTTGGTTGCAATTGGTAATAATATTCATATTTATATACCACAACGGATCTGTAAAAAATGTTCTAAGGGTAGCGTGGTCTTAGTTGCTAATGCGCATTTTCGCAGTACACAGCCATAATAATTATGAACATGCGGCTCTGGCTGGTTTGATTTTCAGCCTTGGCAAAAAATTACCATGGCATATATAGTTATCATGCCGTTTTATAGGTGTGTCAAAGAAACTCTAGAAGTCTAGCAAGACCAATCCCCCCTAGACGTTCTACTGAGGACAGGTCCTCGATGCTGTACTAAAGAAATGGTTCTCACCACTTGTTCATACAGTAGTAGTAACTAAAAACGGTAAAAATTAATACGAAAAAAATTCTTCTACCTGAATATTTAGCTCCACTCAAACAAAATTATTGCAGCGCATGCCAGTGCGTTTTTGAGATTTGCCAAAGGACCTATCTTTGAAAAATCTTGAAGGTAACATGGTCGACCATGCCAAAAAGTTCTGCGTCATGATATGTGTTTTCACCTCACAACCAACGTGCAATATTTGGGTGATTTTAACTTGGCCATTTTCCACCCTAATATAATAAAAATAAACATTTGTGTGAGCATAAATAATGAACGTTGCCGGCGAAGTCACACTCTTATCGAGCACTTACTGGGTGAGTGTTGATTGTAAGGCAATATTTGCGTCTATACTGCAGACAGTGAGTCAACGTGAACGTGACAAACGTAGCAGATTATGCTACTCGATAAATAATATATTTCTTCCTGATATATTTATATATATAGCAGTCGCAGAAGGAGAAATGTCGCCCGAATAGTTCACGCCTCTCTCTTTTAGCTAGATCGTTTGCGCTCTTAACATATAGGTTAACTACTTGCAAATTGCGTCTGCTCGCGCGTGGTAGTTGTGTAGAAGCATTCAGCTTGTATGGATCTATCGACGTTATCGTAAAAGCCTTATTTAATTGTTGGTGTTAATTTAAACAGCTGCGTTAATTACGTATATAGATATTGTAAGCTGTGGGAATAACATTTCGTTTTTTTTAGTGGCATTATATGCAGATCGTTAGCAAGAACAATAGCAAACTACAACCAGATATCACAAAATGCAAAGATAGGCAAGTGCAGAAGTTGCAGAAAAGCAATTATTAAAATATTAAGCAAACGTACCAAAAGCCAAGGTTTGTCGAGAAAGACAAATACCAGATCGAAAAGGTTTCTTTGCGCGCACGACTGCTCAGATCACAACAAACTGAGCAATAATCTGAAGCAGTAAGAAGTTAATCAACGATATGAAGAGCTATCCGATGACCCTTTTGAATGATCGAATCTCTCCAAAAATGGGAATTTCAAGTAACTGAGTTGATTTTCTTCTGATTAGGTTGACTGTTTTACTGAACATAATCGCTTACTTCTCTACGATAGACATTTTCGACATGCTCTAAGTCTCACTGGGGAGTCGAACCATGGCATCTGGTGAGCTGATTATCATTACATTTTGATAGATTATTGGTGCCGTCGCGTCATGATATTATCGAGCCAGACTAACCAATACACGACGCCTCTGAGTCCTGTTGAAACGCCGCCAGTATGACCAGTACAATTTGCCCGTTGTTAGTCCAAGTTGCTGATCTATAAACATATTCTAGAAACCAGAACTTTTTTTCCACATGCAACATGGACTTTGTTTGAAAAACGGAAACATGAGTTAAGTGGTTTTTTAAAAACGAACCAAAAATGGTGGCATCAAAAAAGTTGTAGAATTCAGAAAATGAAATGTACTGATATTCTAGAAAAATCGAGTCGAAAGTGAAATTCTATAGATGACTTAAAGCAAAAAATTTTCGAAATAGAAACACTTACGAACTTGTGGTGCGACGTATGATGATAAGAGTAATTCTATTTGTTATATATTCGTCGAACCTAAGTGTAATCAATAGGTAAACAATCGATTTGTGTCATTTGTACGACCTGCGGTAAATAACGCCAGTATGGAGTCCGCCTATGGCTCCATCGTGAAAGAGACCATAGTAGATAATGTAAGTACGAAACACAACCAAACACAGATTGTGGTTGGATTTCCCGTTTCGGTAGTGTTATATAAGTTCAAGTACGAGTACTGGGGCTTAGGTGGGGTTTATCGTTTATTCTAATATAATAATAGTAACGAAGTTCGTCCATCATCGGGCATAAAGACTGCGCATAACCGGTGAAATGGTGCCTCCAATGCGACTTGGAACCTAGTCCTACGTGGTGTGGACAGCACGACAGAAAAAAAACTCCCTCGCTTTCCGGAATCGAGTTGCTTGTCGGCCAATGTTCAAAAAACTGGCATTTTTGGCAGACAGATGGACGCACAGATATCAGCAGTGGCACTGCACATGGTTAGATTAAAAATGGTACGTTTTATTGATATTGAAAGCGTGAGGTCTCATACTTCATATAAAGGTAGGACACACTGCATGTACTCTTTCTAGGGTCCAATTAAAGCCTAGTTGCGACATAATCGGCGAGCGACTGCCCAGAATATCTGGTACAAGTTCTTTATAACAAATATGGTTATAAAATGAGCTCCTCTAACATTGTCGAGATCATCCTTATTTACGAAAATACGGTGAATTTTATGACGTCATTAAGAATTCTTTGTTTCTGTTCATTAACCATGCCGACACAGTGCTCACAATATGCGCTGTAAGCTCTCTAGACTGGCCGTTAGAGTAGGCTAGCATTATCTGGAAAGCCCTTGCTACGTGTGCCCGTATATGAATTGCCCGTGTAACGGCAAGAACACAGCCCTTACACGCAGCTCATAACAGTAATATGGTGGTGGTGATAATATCGTCAGGGTCTGTTAAGGGCAAAGGGTCTAAATGCGCACTTCCGTTTTTAGGTTCATTTTTGAAACCTTTCCTAGTTTCTAGCTCGCGATTTTCACAAAAACGGCGAACGCTGCCTAGCGTTGAAAAGCATATCTCAGTATTAGGGTCACATGGTACAAACTAATATAAGCACTACCTCATTAGTTATGTATATAATATCTAGTTCCGATACGTCCTGGTTAGCTGGTGCGTGCCCTATCATTTGCGTGGCAGCTTGTTCCGTCAATCCAGTTCCAATCGCACACATATTCGTAATTGACGTCAGAATGGCCGTTCGAAGACATTTCACTCGTTGGAGCACAACGGGGTCTGCATAAGCAAAGCCCTGTAGCTGGAACGCAGTCAGCTTAAAAAACACTGCGTTTGCATAAGCTAATAGAGTTTTGGTTGAGCTCCTTTGCATAGTGCCCTCGTTTAACCCAGCAAGCAGTCGCGTCTTTCTGTCATGTGATGGTAGCTGGGCTTAGAGATTAGACACAGGGGATATTTGATGCCGTATAATAGGTCGCACTTGTTGTACGGATGTATGACCTTGTACTGTTTGCCCATAAACCATTTTAGCAATCATAAATGTTGGTAAGTTCATCAAAATTTTGCGTATGATGGATTGCACTGCAAAATTTGCCAAAGCCACCTCTTGGAGAGCGGGACTCATAGTAAGCTCCCTATTAGCCGATCTTGCATCTGAACGTTCAACTTTCTTACAGGTGCAATGGTACATCTATAGCTTCATTGAAATCCGCAGATATCTCTACCGCATGGTTGGCTATAGTGCTCTGCCTTAGTGGTCGAGTGCGTAGGCCGTCAGTTCAGTCAGAGTCGCTCTCCTAGCCACAATGGCATATCTTATAGCAGTTCCACCTGCTGTCATAAGCCTTCCGGAATGTCGCTGCGCGCCACGTTTTGTTGCAGTACAAGTATGTCTCTCACATATGCACTCTCCGCTGACAAAGTCGCACAACTTATGAATTAAGCAGTTGCAAGTATTTCAACAATATGGTTCTGCGAGGACAATTGCATTCGTAGATCGCGTCGTACCATTTAAACTTGCAGGACCGTTTGTCGGTCATGTTTGTCCCTGTGTTCGGTATCGCACTGTCAAATAAGGTTCTTATTTTCACTACCAAACGATATTGCACCTGACACTGCATTCGAAACGGGATCTGGATAAAAAAACTAGTTTAAAACTCAAGCCTTTTGCCTCGTTATCGTGATCAATTTTAACTATAAGTGGCCGATTTTACTAGAAACAACTACAAAGTAGTATACCCTTCCACCGTTTTAGGGTTAACTAAATCAAACCAGCTGTTACAACTGGGAGTGTGGCTTCTCCCAAAAAGTTCACATTCCTGGCTTGAGAAACCAGCCGAGCATTGAAAATACTCGACTCCTTTACGAAGGCTGAATAAAGCAGACGATCAAGAGTGGCCAACTAGTCGATTTCTTTTAATAGGAGCTTTAGCTGTTTTCTTAGCTGCGTTTTGTTCAGCTAGAAATCTCTTTAAGGACATTAATAATATTAACTTAAACACCGTCGAACTTTTTGTGGTAGTCCAGAGACAAAGTTTCTGTTGTTCACAGGTATAATTTCAAGAATATTTCACCAGCAGTATCAATCCGGAGCGGGATGAACAGAGCTTGTCACCTTGAGCATTTATCAAGAGATACAGCGTATGCTTTGGGTTTGGAGATGGTGATTTCAGGTTTTTTTTTGGGCAAGACAAGCTTACCTTTAAGCCATTGTCCACATGAAGTCACTATTTTATATGGTGTAAGTATTTTGTTACGGTTCTGTCCTGATCTGCCTGTCGACAATACTCTGTGGTCAATAACTTGTTCAATAGTTTGTGTGCTACTGTCAAAAGAAGTTCGACTTTTATGGGTTCGTTGTCACAGAGCACATCTCTACCATTATGTACTACGAAACTCTTAGGGCGAAGCGTTTGCAAAATGTTTTTATCAAGGACGATGGATCCGGCGAGGCGAGCCTGGGTGCTGACCACGTTTTTAACGATTGTATGTCATGACTGTACACAGAAACGTTCTTCATGTACACTTCATCCATTAGGCATTTTAGATAGAATGCGTTACTTTTCTGCATTTGTTTTAGAAAAAGAATTGGCTGTTTATCGACGTAAACGACGTTCATAGAACGTTAAAAGCCTTTCCACTGAACTGTTAATAAAAACAGTGCGGAGAATCGATCAGTTGATACGTGACCGAAGATTCATTGCCAGTATCTATTGAATGGATGATAATACTACTTAGCTGAGCTATTGCGCGCTTCCACTGGACATTTACTGTTGCTGAAACATAATAAAAATGCTATATCTTGTGCGAAGTTAAACACCCGAAATAATACTATTCTCTACTATGGCTAAGTTGACTGACGCTTGTTTCGTCTTTTTGCGTAGGACGGAATTTGTACAAAACCGCGACGAATAAATATTTAGACGGATGTTTATAGTTACTAGAGGCCGTTTGATGTATGATTCGGTTCGCTATTACATAAAACCGCACTGTAAAACGCTTCCAGTAATATTTGACTTACGCCTTCATGTTATTATCTAATTTCGTCTCTTATTTTCTATTTTTACCTATATTGTTACTGCTTTCTTTTTACGGTTACAATCCGCAGCTGCCGCAATACGGAAGAGGATATTTTATGGTTGCGTTTACAAAAAAAAGGGAACTTTCCCATAGATCAAAAATTCGCATGAACAATTTAACCTTTTGGCCCTGATCTCTACAGATACTTTTATTGTGGCTTCATGTACGCTTGCAGTAAACTCGGCCGATAACCAGATACGCTTGGCCTTACACAGTATATTTCTGGAGCCGCATCCTGCTTGGCACATGTGTATTCTAAATTTTCACATCCTTTTTAGATCATTCTAGAAACGGGTGCATAAAAATACTTATGCTACTAGTCAATAAGTTTGTTTCGGTTGTCAATATGTTTGCCTTTCTATATTTTTACGAATTATTGTTGTTTTTTTTTTAATGCTGTGATTAGTCAATACGTATTTAGATACGAGTCGGAAACCATCTTTTTCTGGTGTTTTATTTTTAGATTGAAAAAATCTAATTCATTTTGATTACACAGGTAGACGGATACCTTGACGTCTGTACCCTCACAGCTGATGTACAGAAATGCATTCTTTCTGTAATACAAATGTAAACTCGTTCAACGACGATCTTCTTCTAAATAATCGTAATTCGTGGTCAGATTGACTCCTTCAATCTGCCTGCACCTTCCTCCGCTGGCATCTAAAGATACCAAAAAAAAAAGTTGCGTCGAACAGTTCGTATCGTGTACACGTAGCCGGCAAATCCACTAATATGTCGATGGGCATATCTTGATCTTATTACCGTACATGCACAACTTACAACAGTTGTCCCCTAACTTTTGACCGAACACCGACTTCCGAACCATCCCTGATACAACTGCATGGATCGCACATTGAATCGACGCCCATCTAGCCATTAGCGCACGGCACTAAGCAGGTTGACCGGATCGGCGTAAGGACGCATCTGCAACTGGATCAGAAAATCTCTCTTTTTTTTTTTGCGGTGGCTGGCATAATATTAGCCACATGTTCCCCCGGAACACGGATGCGCACGTCCTATACTTGTCCAGTCTGCTAAGCATCTACATTTTGGTTTTTGACAGTCGTTCTGACACTCAGGGTCAAATGCATTCTTGCAAATAAGTCGCCTTACTTATATTGTTGGTTAGTATAACCATGTTGACAACAGCAATTAAAGCTACGTTCGTCACAAGTTGGCTCCCGGTTACAATGACATTTTTCACTGCTAACCGTGCGGGCAGTGACTCTCATATCGTGTTGTATGTCCTATTTGACCTTGCAATCGCTTATTCTCTTGACGCGTCACGTATTCTCTCGAAGGATACTGTACCCGACATTTTGTGTCTAAATTCCTGTTTCCATTTTAAGCATACTTTGATTACCTTAGGACAATTCCATTGTCTTTCGCAGTCACAGTCCTGCGGAACAAGTTTGATCACAGTACTGTCCAACATAGCCTGGCATATATGCATTCCCCTTATCGTCATCGTATAGCTTATCACTTGGGCGGTACAGGCGCTTATAAACACTTACAGGCATATCTACTAGCTATGAAAACACAATCATCTGTGCTTTTGCGATCGCCGGACAAATCCGTTCACTATCCTCATCCTAGCGCCAACGATCAGGCAGCAAAATGAAGAAAACTAAATGTTTGCATCGGTGTCGTCTCTATGCTGATGCCATTTCATTGCATTTTGACTATTTAACATTGCATTTTAACAAAGTTTTCGTCGAATATCTTTTGAGTGGTATGTATTGAAACTTAGAGGAGGACAGTTGGACGGATTTCTACAAATTCTGTATAAACAATATTCGCCATAGCGTATAACTAGCCTCGTAGACTTAATTTAGCATGCGTAATGGTTTTGTGGTCTTAATTTCTTCTTGCAACATAACCTTCCATAACAGACGTATGGTACTATATTCAAGGATCTATCAAAGTGGACAGCTCACTACCAAGCCCGTTCTAAACAAGATAGTTTGGTAGAAGTAAAGTGCTTCTATTTTGACGTTACCTTTTTATTCAGAGACACCCAATGCCAAAACGTACTGCTTTTTAAGGCACAGCTATCAATGATGAGTTCAAAAAAATATTGTGATTATAGAGCTTGCGTCTCGAATATGCTGTTGACTTAGAAAGACGTTTTGCGTTTGGTAACCACCAGATAATATTGGAAAACGCCCTTATCTTCGCAGAACATGGCGATTTGGGAATGGCATCCATTAGATTCCACTTTAAGAGAATATTTGTATTCAATAAAAAGAATAACCTCTGTGTTAATTAAGTATCTTTTCACGGACTACGAAAATAAATTTTTCATGCACTGGCTGATTCGCAAAATCGTGCGTATTTTTAGACAGTAAAATTATTTTTGGTTACGACTCGTAAGGTTGATCCAAAAGGTTGATCGCAAAGTCGCAATGTGATTGATGCGCCCACCGAATTTACCTGCTTTTTTTTTTTGCTTATAGCTGAATATTAGTTGTGAGATATTTCTGCGGCGGTCATCCAGGGAGGGACCCACGACATATCTGGATCCATTTTGGTTTTCTACAGAGAAGAGGTGGCTTATATTGCAAAGTGTCAACTCCGATGTTAACTACTATCTTTTGTGGTTATATGTAAGTCTTGCTAGCCTTATTTAGTTTCTCCTTCAATAGACCTATAAAACGGAATGATGGCGTTATGCCGTTGTAACCATTTTTCAAAGTTAAATTTTAGAACAGCGATGGCCGCATATGCATGGCGGTGCATTCAAAAACCGCGACAATTACTGGACACACCTGACTTTTCTCTAACGAAGTTGACTGCGGAAAGGCTAAAGCGTACCCGAAGAGCAATTAGTGTAAGACATTCTCTGTTGATAAAAATGCGTAGGCCTCGACTCCTAGGTTAGGGGATGAAGCCTTGAAACTGCTTTGAGGCATCCATTCTTCCTCGCCAGCGCAGCCCTGAATACCTTTGAGATCGCTGTTCAGCATAGCCATGGACGCAGTTTACCGCCAGACTAACTGACCTAAAACCTTGCGACTACCTCTGCTCCTGAATTGGCAGAGCACACCTTAACGGGTAAAACTAAGTCGAAACTGGTGCAATTTTACTCTTCAAGCTACAACATTCGTCCTTAAAGAAAAAAAAATAGGATTATTTTTTTCTGCTTGGTAAAAAAAAAAATATAAATCTACCTGGGGATATCATTTTTGAGGGTTTAGATTAGTAAGCTGTGTGTGGTTCATCGAAAAGCACTTCCGCTTTTCCTAGTTTTTAAAAATGGCTCGTACTATTGGTTTAAGTAGCCAGCGCCAACTAAAATTTTCCGACATCATGTATATGTGAAATATTCCATATCACGCTCAGCTTGTAATTTGGTTTGGGGGAGAAATTTCCACCAAAACTTGAACTTCGTAATTTAGTGTGGCTGCTCGTTAAATTTGCATTGACCGAGTATAGATGCTTAAAATATGTGCCAGTTAATTATAGTGAATACTTTTACAGTAAACTTAATAAAAAAAATCATTCTTATATACAGGATACTCTGCACACGTCAGCCATTGTCTTTAATTTTAGTAGAAGTGAATATTTATTGCTGGTGCTATCATGACTTAACGCAAGGGTCGCAAGCACCCTTTTCCAAGTTTACCGCTAGGCAAGAAGGTCGTCGCCGAACTCTTGCAAGAAACCATGTGTATGCGGACGCTCATCGCCACATTCAGCCTTTTACTTGCAGCCATCATGGTCACCCTAACAACATAACCTCCAGCTCATTTTGAAAGTGTTTACAAGATGTATGCATATACATTGCTTACTTGTTGTTCTTAGTTTGAGATCTTGCTTAAGAGCTAACGGCATATGTAAGTAGCATTGCTTCTGCTCGCGCAGTTCTTTGAGTCAAAGTCGCAGTCTTCGCGATGATAATGTCCTGACGTCGGCACAGCGTAACAAGTCACAGAACACATCGCCGGTGCGATTCAAGGGGGTCTTGTGGATCACATTCTCTTCGGCATATATATAGTCCTGCAGTGAGTCGAAGTCGTGACATGGCAGACCTCCTGCAAAACCAACATATATAACAGTTTAATATAACATATAATATAATCATAACATATAACACAGCTTATGCTCTTCGGTGCAGCCTAATAGGAAACGCTTTTTAGAAGGTTGGCGCATGTGTTGCATAGTATTGAGCGAGCATAGCCATCACCATGCGCCTAATATCTTTCTAGTAGATCCGTTAACTGAGTAATTACGTGAGATCATGGTACTTACATGGGTTTGAGGATAAAATTGAGCCAACCTGAAATATGTCAGTGCGCCTTGTTCAACGCACATAGAAAGTAATATATGAAGATGGACTGAAAATTGTTTGCACAGATTTACGCGACAATTCACACGTCCATACTGGATACTTTATCTCATAAAGGGAAGTCGTTGTTTTACGCTACCAAAAGAAGAGGCTATTACTAAGTATCTCATAGACATTTTTCAAGCGTGCTTTTTAATCGACGCGACAATTAAACTCTTAAAGCGGGTTTTACAAAAGTGGGTATATGAGTAAAAAATTAATAGGATTATTTCTACCAGGTGATAGCAATTACAATACCGTTCTAGAAATTTCAAATGTGAGCGCCCCACTTTGAAATCAAGTCCATTCGTATGGTGCCATCAAAAAGCAGCAAGAAAGTTATTATCAAAATAGCTTTTTTATTGGCGGATGCGTTTGGAGCGACAGCGGTCACTTCGGTGTTCTACTATTATCCAGTCATCAGCATTATAAAAAAAAAAAAAAAAAAAAAGTTTATTTAACTAGAATGGTCAACAACCACATTCTGTATAATGATAACGTTTGAAAGACCAGCTTTTTCATGCTGACCTTGATGCGGCAGCCATGATCTGTAACCAAAAATTAGCATTTCTCACCCATGCGGTAAACAGGTATCCCCTTGCAGTGGCCGTATCTAATTTCATTATAGAATGGCAATGCATGGTGGTAAATGTCCATATGATTATGGCCTCTCATTATGGGGAAACCATACATTGTGATCAAAATGTTTAGTTAAAACTCAACGTTTGAACGTTGAGTTTTGTATCAACATTGATCAGATTGTAGAAATCAAAAATACGAATGCAACGACCTTGGACATACATAAACCGCTGGAAACCTGGGTTTGATTGATAATGTTTACCTCGTTTTGTTCGAAGCAGGCAGGTGACCATAATGAAAACATCTTGTTTGTTTCCATTTAGGGCTTTCGTATTTTTTTTACACAGGCACTTATCATTCTGCGTCCTGCCGACAGACACCCGTTAATTTTGCCTTAATTCGTTTGGCCTGTGCTATTCCTTATCGCCACCAATCCTCGGCTCACCGTTGCTGTGAGCCGATGTTTTCGTAATAGTTAGCATATTCAGCGTGTATTCGAAAACGCATACTAATTGCAGAAGTGAATGTCTAACAAAAAACGCACTGCGTTCTCTTCAGGAGACGTCGTCGGCGGCCAGGGATGGACTGGTTACAAACAGGCCGATTTGCTCGCCGGCCACACAGAGTTACCATTGCGTGACCTCTATACTGCTCGCTTCTAGGCCGGAACTCCTCGTGTCCTTTCAAAGTGACATGATTCATTGGCGGCATAACACAAGTCTGTCCCGACTGCAAAGCTTTGACGCACACAACCAGCTAAATATTCACATAGTATTGAAGTAGTCGGAGAGTGACTAAGTGCTGAATTAGTAAGATAAACTAGGATTTGGTGTGAAGTCGAATATGATACACAACAATTATAAAATGACATCTTTGTCCGCATAACAGACTACTCAGTACCCTCCATTTGTTTTCTCAAGCAAGTCACATTGCGCTCAGTTCTGGCTGGATTCAGCAATCTATCGTATGCGATACTGCCGTAGCATGTTGCGCCGTTACGAACCTGTCTCATGACTGAACGTTAGTTATGGTAGCCGTAGAAACACGATCTGGTCTTCAGCTTTGTTCGGTAGAGGAACGTGGCAAGTGAAAGGATCCGAGCTGACGTCGCGATTATCGTACTGGTCGGATATTTGCGTATGCGTACTAGAGAGAAGCCGTTCGTTTGGGATTAATAGTTGTAGACTTATAGACTGCTCCGATTTTCGATATACTGACGGCTACGGCCGTTCAATACCGATGCAAAATACCCACTACTTGTAACGGTGAGTAAATAAATATCCGCGATGAACTTTGTGCGCGGATAGACAAAGCGACGAATCACACAGAAAGATCTACATTCGGTCAATGCAAAAACTGCGATGCTTGTTGCCAGTTTCATTGTTACCATAAGGATGAGCATTTTTGCAGGTTAAAAATCCTACTCTAAACTGTTCGTAAGAAGCCTTAACGCCCATAGCACACGGTGTCCTCGTCCTGACCACTGTCCAACCTCAATATCGAAGATGCACTTTGATCTGACTACTAGCCAGGCGGGTATTACTGAACACCTTAAAAAAATTTGAATCGGAATTGGTAAAAGAAAACCTGCCATGTAAATATGCCTACCAAAATAGTATAGTAGTAAAAACTTCAGATCACAGTATCGTATTGATCGCAAGCTTAAAGGGACTATATGCAAGACTAATGATGATGCACTTTCTGAGACAATACATAACGATGATCCACTTTCACGTGGCAGATATATTATCGTGATGTTATATTTCTACCTTCATCTCCTATAAACATGACGACAGCAACACAAATACCTAGGATGCGATCGGCCCAACGTACGTTTTAGGGAGTTCCGCGCAATGGAAACCGATCCACAGCTATGCAGAATATTGTTACCCGAACGAGTCAAATACACGATCAGATATTTCTAAGAACAGGTATTTCTAAGTCTAACGCAAAAACTGATATTTCTAAGTACGTTCTTGAAGGAGGGTATCACAACGCTGTTGCATGTTATGTTAACCTACACAAAAGCCGCCATTGGATTTCACTGGAAACACGAAACAGGCCCTTTGACCAGTTCGAACCGATAACGTTTTCTCATACACGTCATGGCAAGCACTACTAAGAGCTTTACGCACTCGATTCGGGTCCTGTTTCTGGCCTGCACTGCCTTTAGACAAACATCAGTGCATCCGACAGACAAATGCGAATGTGCGGTGCGCTGTTCGTAAGCTAGTCCGAGCAGGCGCTTACAAGACCAGCTGTGCAGGCCAGCCGCTACCACCGAAGTTCTGACTCATAAGTGCCCAGGTTTCGAATTAACAAGGTGGGAACTTCCGTGAGAACGAAACCTTCTACCTTTTTTTTTTTACCAAACACTCTGCCGCAGAGCTTAGTCTTGCAGCCATCCTGGCAGACTACTTCGTCCATCTTCGTATCAAATAGACTTCAAGAAACTCGACTGCCACGATCTCTATTCCCATTGCTATTAGTCGTAGTGACAGCACAAATGTACAGACAGAAACGCAGTATGTTTACGCAAACCCTTCTATACGACGATAGTGACAGAAGTTCCTAGAATTAAATATACTGTTGGTGCGTGTCGTAACGATATACACACATACATTGTTTTCTGCATATAGATAAGGCAGAAGTGTCATGGCATATATACTCATACGTTATATATGTACAACGTGCATAGATAATATATTTTATATATTCACTATATAAGCTTCACAAGTGTCGAAAAGGATTGATTTCCTAATTTCTTAGACAATAATGGGTAGTCGTGTATGCCCTAGCACAGGGCTCGTCAAATGCACTATTATGATTTATTCTATGCTAGGGCTCCTAGCCATGCTAAAACATGAACATGACATGGACCCCGCGCCATTTCTGTTGCAGTTTTTGCTGATGGCTCTTAGTTAACTTACAATAACGGCATCAATGTGAAAATAACTTCGTAACCATACCATCGTCTTCAATAGCGAAAGGTTCTGTTTAAGCCCATTGTGGATATTGGCTAACTAAACGAGTATAGAAGATCGTACGTTCTATGCATGGTAGAAAGTTTATATACATCCGTTAGACAGTTGTGTGACAGCCTAGTGTGAAGTGAGTGATTTTTTGTTTATAAAAAAAGATGTAGCGAGGTTGCAGAGTTGTCAATTTGTCTTAACAAACTTCAAGAAACAAATGTCATTGAGAAACTTGATTGAATTTCCTTATTGTCCCTTAATCCAGCTGCCATTTGCCGCTTTCCTATTCGTTGAGTGTACGGTAAATTAGTCAAGGTTACTGTTATTGGAATAGCGAATCAGCTCGATTGAATTAATCATTGCCTATGGTGGTCAGCCCTTATTACTGGCGCTATGATGGCTCAAGATAGCGTCAACGCTACGTGAAATATCTCATTCGAGGGGCAAGCTTTTCATTCTCCTATAACTTCGTGCTTCACTGTACAAATAGACATATCTTAAGCTAATTATATGTCGAACTAAAGGCGTAACATGACTTGGACTATATCCGTGCTACCGTACAGGACCTTACCTAACCTAAAAGCGTTAAAAGTATTTCCCTATGGCAATCGAACCAGTATTCGAGCGGGTTTTCTTTTTGTAGACATTAAACAGATCGTCTGGAGATTGTGGAAGACCGTGGAGGATGTAAAGACTAGGCCAATTTTGTATTTTGTAAGTTCACAATGGCGTTTGCGTGTGGCCCTTATCTCGATATGGAACCTTAACTGAAATGCATTATATTGGTACGCTGATGATCATCGAGGTGTAAATATGCTATGAGTTATCCTGAACGACGGTTTCGTCACTTATTCGTATGAAAAGTACGTACATTACATACAGATTGTAGACACAAGGCCGATATCAGGAAGTACATTGTTGTTACCAAAGAGAGTGATAGCATACATACTTTTATGACAATATACAAACTGAGAGAATTGGACGAAATAGATACCGGCCACGAGCCTAAGCTTGATATTTCGTAGTAAATAAATAGGAGCTTCTTCGACACTATCGAAGGAGAGGGCGATCAAACATCCAACTATCGTATCCGGCAGCAGGAGAAATAGATTTCTGCAATTATCTATAAAAATGTACAAAAGTCTTATTAAGC